AGTGGAAGGATCTGTTAAATCATATTAATTTTTAAAAACTTACATTTATGAGAGAAACAGAATTAGACTTAATTATATAAGCAGATGAAAGCGAAATTTTAACATCATTGTTTGGATGGAATTCAATCAAAGATGAACAAACTTTTAGATTTTGCCATATAAATAAGCGCCTCGGGCACAATTCGAAGATTCCTGATAAGTTCGAATGAAGATGCTGGCTTTTATTGCGCTACTCCATATTTTCACCCCCACCGAATAACTACTACCTAACATTTTTTTTAAGCGAACGTAGTTATTCGGAGGGGGGAGGAAAGATGGAGTAAAGATAAAAAAAGAATAATTTTTTAACCCCTATTATATTATAAAATCTTAAAAAGAAAATTTTGAGCTTTAAATTTAGTGATTTTGTATTTATAGATAATACCAAGACGGTTGAGTATTTTTACAATTCAATTTAAAAAGAATAAAAAATTTGTTTAAGGTGTGATAACAGAATAAGGACCATAATGGCTGCCACTTATATAGGCGGGTATGCTTACATGATTACAGATGCTCTTCTAAGGCATGCAGATTAAAGGCAAGCCTAAAGAAGGGGTCTAAATGGCCTCCCCGAGTTTAAAATTTGTAAAAATTCTTAGGGGAATGTATTGCTGGGTATATGATTTTACCCCAGCCCAGACTATTGATTTCTGCGATTGTTCGGAGACTACCTATATTAAAATCAAAGATTTGATTTTGCAAGTAATTTCTAAACAAGAACCAGAAATGGTTAAAATGGGTGAAGAAGGTATTGGGGTGCAGTTTGACGAAACGGCTATCTGTAATGGGGAGTTAATACCCAACCCATCCAGTACCCTAGACAACAAACCCAACGTACAATGGTTATTAGGTGGTGCAGAAGAGGGAAATTGTGGGGCTTTGTTCTAAAGCTTGTTCCTAACAGAAAGGATCCGACTATACTAAACATGGTCGAAGAATGTGTTGTGCCCGGATCTATCATTGTTACTGATGGTTATCCATCTTACCCTAGGGCTGTTACTGAATTTGGATCTTGCCATGAAGTAGTAAATCACTCGGTTGGGTTTGTTAATGCTCAAGAAGCGCATACGAACCAAATTGAAAACCTGTGGTCACATCTTAAGCATGCCTATCGAAAACGTGACGATATTAATAAAGAAAGAATAAGTTTTTTTTAAATGAGTGGCAATGGAGGAAATGAAACGTTCAAAACGGCGATAACAAGACGCTTAGGACTGCATTATATAGATTATTAAAAGTTTTCAGATTTTAATTTTTTTGTAGCCAATCATTTTTTTAAAATTATAATAATTTTTTTAAAAAAACAAGGGGGGTGGAATGATGAAATTGCGCTAAAGAGTTGGGTGGGCTTCCAAAACCTTCTAACTATGGCCATGGCGTCATATACATTTCTCTTTCATATTTCTCAGAGATCCTCGGAAGGTAGATGGAAGAATTATTGGCTTTGAGGTGTTGGGGCACGAATTATTCATATAGTCAACCAAACCCTTGTATAAATCAACCCGGTGCCTTTTCTGATTATGTCTAATAAAATTCAAATTATTGGTTTCGGCTTTCAGATATAAGTCAAATATCCATTGCTGTCCCCGTTTTCCAGCACAGAAAATTGGATTGAAGACTCTTTTCTTTATTGATAAATGTGCTACTTTATATTTAGAAAGTGATATCTTCCTATTTTACTCATGTAAGATTTAAGTCTAAGTTCCGTATTCCATCCCGATTCTCCATGTAAGAACAACGGTGCATAAGTCATTGGATATAGGTGCGAATTTAAGATATTTAGCTTAATATTGTCATGTGTAGTCACCTTGTTATACACTCTTATATCCTTCTCAAAAAGGGGTTCCCCATTTGGATCTGTAAATACCATGGCAATTTCACTTTCCGTTGGGCTATTAAACCTGCGTTGGTTCCTGAACAAGTTTTTTAAAAAAAGTATTAAAATATCTTTAGCTTCTTTACCCTTTGCTTTATGCTCTTCAATAACTTCACCCATGCTTTTAAATGCTTCAGAATATGGATTACACCTTCTTATGCAAGCATCAATCTTTCGCATGACATCACGACCGCACTTTGCATTAGGAGCATTTGCCATTCTATTTCCAGTAGCCATTTCACTATCCAGCACATAAAATTGAGCATATTTCCTTTGTGCTCTTGAGTCGATGATCTGTTGATTTAGGTATTATGATATACCTGTCATTGTGTCTTGAAAACATATGGCCCGTTATTTGTAGTCTGTATTTGAGCACCTATTGAAGCAAATGAAAAAGCCAAATTGAAGGCTCTAATTCTTCTTCGGAATTTTTTGGCCTCGTCATTATTGCCATCATATAAATCCCTCAGATATTTAAGAAACATTTTCTTTTTCTGTAACTTCACTTTCCCAAAATCACAACAACTTTTAAATAGACCCGTTGAATTGGCTTCATCTTTAAAATGCAATGCCCCCACAAAATGTACAAATCTGATATAGTTCCTCGGAATCATGGTCTTTAGCTTTTGGAATGGAATACAATTTTGAGACAACTTAATAATTGATATCTGAATCTATGGCACCGTAAGCATCTTCTTGTTCGCCGCCAAAATTGAATACAGAATTTCTTTTTATTAATTTAGCAGCATAAGTTTTTTTTATTTTAATAACTGTTTGTGGAAATATTACATTCATCTTGCAAATTTTCAACGATACTTGCTTCATTATTTATCTCTTCAGAGATACTTTACAATGTAATATTTCGTTGTTCACTAAAATAGTGTTTGTTTGGTTTTTTGTAAACATAATAGAGGTAGGAAAAAAAATTTTAAAATACTTTTTTATTTTGTTTTTTCTTGAAAATCAAAATGCTTACAATTCAAGGAAAAGAAATTTTTAAAAATAATGAATTGGATTTTTTAAATGCATGCAATTGGTGGAATACATCAACACCACTTGTCTAAGTCATTTTAAAAATACCCATCCCAAAAATCCAAAATAGCATTTTCTCGAATTCTTTTAATTTATTATTTTTTAAATTAAAAAAATACAAAAAATTCTCTAGAAAGCAAGAAAAATTAAAAGAAACGCTTTAAATCTCTAATAACAAATCAAAACAATAAAACATTGATACTTTTATCTGAAAAGTAAATATAGTGTCTTGAGTATTTAAAATACATAAATTAAACATATTAAATATGTATTTACATTTAGAGTTTGATGTTAAAGCGACTTATGTAAATATTTAAAGTCTTAAAGATTAATTGTTAGATTGAAAAAATTTCTTGTTTTTTTCCAAAACAGGGGGGTAAAAATTAAATAAAATTCTTTCATTAATATAATTTCAAAAAAGATTTTTAGAATTTCAATATATAACTCAACAAATTCTTTATTGCCCTTATTTATTACATAACGTCTCCAAAAGTATATCGTATTAGCCAATCATCAATATGTCGGCGATTTGTTTCATGTTCTTTTCTCTTCGAGCTTTTCGTGTTCGCCCAAAATCACTCTATGGTATTTGTATGTGTACCATTGTCTCCTCTAAACCTTATATAATGGTTTACCCAGCAATGTTCGACTCCAATGCAAAAGCAGTAGACGGATACAACGAATGCCAATCCGTGTATAGAACGCTTCTATCATTGATATTCCCTCGCATAGCTGCAGCGGGGTTGTCAATGGTTCTATTTTCAACTCTTGCAAGAAAAAAATTTCGTTGGGGTGTTCTATCAATAGCGCCGAGTATCCAAACTGTATCGAAAATGGTATCATCTGCGATTGTAGGGCAGCGAACAACCCCACGTCTTGAAAAAACATTCTCGTCAACTTCAACGATAATGCCCGATCCGCCTAAGAGAGCGGGTCTTTGTTGGATATAGACCCTATATGTATCTAGAAGCAGAGCTTTATATCTTGCTTTTGTAGAGCCGGATACAAATTAAAAATGATTGATCTGATTATAGCTTATATCAAGCATAAGGAGATAAATCAAATGCACCACATCCGTTGGGGGAATCCGAGAGCCAAACGAATAGTGTCGCTTTTGATTTTTGCGCCCCGGGCATCTGTACAGCATCACATATGAACCTGTAATTAGCCCCCCCCCCCAAATGACGCAATTCTCTACAATTATCACAGATCATTGTTGTTGATATAATATTATTTGATAAAAAAAATTTTTGAACTCGTTCATACAAATAAAAATTTATCTTTAATCCCTGTTTTTATAAAGGGTAAAAAAATATCTTAATTGAAAGACCATGCAAGTAGAATATAATGTTTTATACATATGTTCAAAAGCATGGTATATAAAAAAATAAAAATAGTATTACTATGTACTTTCACATAACAACCAATCACAATTCTTTATGGTCATTCTGACAAATGAATTATTAAGAAACCAATATTTTTCTGTAGATTTAAAAGGAGGGTTTATCTTTCCCCTTTAAAACTATAAATACAAGAAAAAATATCCTATATATATAAAAAGTTTGAATCTTAACATTTTTTCATTTTTTAACCCTTCTTTTTTCAAAACTTGGAAAACGCTTTTTAAAATAAATGACAATCTTTCATAGTTGATTATATTATATAAAGCTTAATTTTCTAATATATTTTTCCTTTAATTTTATTCAATTATTTAAATTATAAAATATGTGCTATTGTCATTTTATAATTTAAAGTGTGCAATGTGTTATTTTTAAACAATACATACATACATAAACAAATATACACATAATTTAAACAAAGAAAGCATGTATCGTGTTCAAGTCCCCATTGTAAATAGGATAGCGTTGGCTAGTAAATAAATAAAATCATCAAATTCAACTTCTTTAATAAAACAACACAATTCCAGCGAGTTCTGGCAGTACTAATCAATAAAACGCAAAAGAACATTTTTTAGGACAAAATTTTTTTCTCTCTTTAAGTTGGCATTAAAAACTTTTTTACTATAAGACAATGAAAATAATCTTTATTTTTCTATATAATATTGTTTATTTGTGTTTATAACAAATGTAAAAATTCAACCATCAAACTTTTAATAAATATATTTAATTAAAAAACAACGCCCAATTATTATGTAATAAATATTTCTACGATATTACATTTTTATAAAGAAATAAAAAGATTATCTACATTTGTGAAGTAACCACGTTGAAAATAGCTTTCTAATATGTTAATTCTAATTTGTTTATTGCTATTAGTAATAACACGCATTAGTTTTTTCGTCGTGGTTCTGTTTATTTAAGTTTCCTGGTTTTTGTTTCTTGAGTTTTTTCATTGTTTTAAAATTTTAGTTTCTTGAATAGTTGTTCTCAAACGTTGTTTTGATTTAAACCAATAGCTGTAATGTGGTATCAATCTGAAATATGAGGAATATCACAATTTAAATTTTTAAATCAAAAATTCTGCCGTATACAGACGATTACCCGTAATTTTATGTTTTCATTAAATAATTGGTGCAACAGAAGCAAAAGCAAAATTTTATTAAATTAAAAACTATATTTATGCAATAGTTTTTTTTATTCATTTAATTTATATTTAATATTGTTATAAGATTAACCCCAATTATGAAAGATTCTTACATGGGGGCGATACAAAAATACGAATTGTCAAGTGATGATTGCAGTCAGGGGACTGGAAGATTATTAAATGAATTAGAAATTGTTGTGTATCCACCGAATTTGGGGAAGTGGAAAGAGCAGAGTAGTAGAGAAATGTTTTTGAAAGAATAAGCTAAGAATTAAAAATTTTTATTGTTAGAAATATTGAAAAAG